GTCTCGTGGCTGACGACGAAAGATTCATTCCGTTGAACCCTCGGTTGACAATCAAAGTCACTTCTGTCTACGAATACCTGCGATGGGTCAGCAGACGAGCCTAGCGCTTGGCTTCGTGGCGTGACCGGCTTGGGTTGACAGAACGCTCAGTGCAACCGAAGCGACATGACTGTCGGCTTTTCTTTTTCGTGTAGTACCATCCAAGGACGTCCAGTGGATTTCATTCGGTGCGGATCCGACGGCACGATACCAACACTACTGTCTACGTCGTTTTGTCCGCTTCTACCCAGTCCGGATCGAGTCCCGGGCTTTGAAAACGGCATCGCCCCACTCCGGTCGATCGGCCGCCGAGCCGGAAAGTGGGGCTTCTCGGGTCTAGGGCCCGGAGCTAGTTCTCGTGGCATCCGCTTCAGACTTTTCTTCTGTGTAGCGACCGCAAGAACATCTCAAGTTTCTATTACAGGTTGTAGCTCTAGTTTCGGTCAGGACCGTCCAAAGGTAACGATGGTTTCAGCTGCACAGCGGAACTGCTTCGTTCCGTGTGATCGAACTGGCCCTTCGTCCGAGGATTGGGTCCCGCAAGGGAAGGAAGCGGTATACGCTCACGAATAACTTGCCCGCAAGTTTCGATCGAAAGATTGTTCTTCCGCCTGCGGAAACAAGTTGAACCCTTCACTCTAGCCCTGTCGGTTCATGTCAAATTGCCTAGCCCGCTCTTTGACGCCTGGCGAACCAAGAGGTTGGGTCTTTGCTCGCGCTTTGATCGTAACGACAGACCACTGACCACCTACACACGGTTGCCGCCCAACCGCTTCGATGCTCCATACGCTGGAAAATATTCCACGCACCGCAGCTATCGAAACGGACTTCCATGAGAGCGCTTGGTCCTGCTTGCGTAAACACGAGTTGGACACTGACATTTTTACCAGCCTCCTCTCTTACGAACACGTCTTCGCTCATCAGGGAGTCGGGTACGGCCCACGGCCATAGAGCATTATCTAGGCAATAGCCCGAAGACATGGCTCCGGTCATGGCTCCGTTCGTAGCTCCGGTCATGTAGAACATCTGCCCCGCGATATGGCGGAAGTCAGCACGAGGCAGGCACCGGGCGGTTGGCAAGCTCCGTACCGAACACGAACTTCCGTCACCCTGTCTCTCTGTCCGCCCACATCTTGGGATGGTCCCTGTCGCTCCGGGTTACCTGAGCGAAGAGTAGCATAGTCGTGCCTGGGTCTCGGTCGTTGGACAGTTCTGGCGTGCAACCTGACTTTGGGAGCGTCAGAACCTTGAAGATGAACCTATCGCCTCACCATCAGGCGGTGGGGGTGGAGGGCTGGAAGCTTTCAAGGAGACATCCTCCTCGCAGAGAATCTAGATCTGAACTACACGAAACTCGCTTGATGTCAAACGTGTCGTTGGGACTACTGAGATGATAACTCTGTTTGGCACCCATCACATTTGACAGACGTCTGCTATCCCGTCGTGGGTAGATAGCCGCCGTGTCAATCACACAACCACCTCGGAGGTGTAATCGAGTCATGAGACGATCGCTTTCGCGATGTCGTATAGCATGTGAACAACCCCGAAAGCTTCCCCCTGACAACCTTCGGGATTAATCCGCCGAGCCACTCGGGCGAGACAACCCAAAGCCGAGTTTGTTCACGGAAGAGGACACCCATGAGTTGATCCCATCACGAGCTGTACGTTACATAGGATGTCTCATCGACCCAAAAGTCTGGTTAAGTGACTCCTTTCAGTAAGAGGGTATACGCTTGGACGTAATCAGTTAGAAAAAATCTAGGTAAAAGGGGGTAAAGATACATATAGTGACTCCTTTCAGTCAGCCACAAGGTTCTGTTTTCTAGCCGAACTAGACAGATGGTGTCATGACGTCCCACCGGCGCACCCGTCTCATCCGCGACAGTATCCCGGCGGCCGGGGTCCGGGCTGATCTTTCTGTTGGACGAGAAATAAGCTTAAGTTGTCACCATGCCACATCAAGACCGGACTTCTCCCACGGAGGTATCTGAAGTATGCTACCGGTCTGCTCAACCTTCGCACTGTAGGGCTACTCACCCAGAAGGACAGAGACTTTAGCCTCATTTTCTTTTTACTCTTCTCTCCCACTTGACAACACCTTTTACCTTCTCAGGTTTGGGTTCTCCCGAAATCTTAGGATGCCTCCTTCGAAATTTGGCGGTTTGCTCCAGGCTGCGGCTCGAAACGTGCAGTCTCGCGAGTCAAGTGTCAGGCCAAGGCCCCCTTTTTGAGGTTGAAGGAAGCCATAGGTTTCGGCTTTTTTGGTTGATGGTGATGGCCTGACTTTCAGCGCCTCGGGAAACTGGTTTGATCTTTTCGCATTTCCAATCTTGTGGCCCTATTTGGGTTGATGCACGATGCTAGCGGCTGGCTTCTTCAGAGTTCAGGGGTAACTATTTTGAACATTCTCCCTGTCGGCCCAGATACAATTTGCTTGTGAATCATGTAGAAAGCGAAGATTCTGAGGAGGACTCCAACGACGACGACAACAACGACGATGAGGACGTAGACAAGGACGACGACGGGGGCGAGGACGTGGGCAAGGATAAGGACAAGACTTACAAAGCCAAAGACGGTGGAAATCATCTATTCAACTCATTAGTCTCTCCGATGTTCTCGGTGAAAGCAAATGAGTCGATTTGCAAGTACGCGCTCTCGTAAATCAAGCCGAAAGTGTGAGCCTACCTACTGGATTCTTTAATTTATGTCGTCGAGATTATTTGAGGTATCCTTCAGATGGTCAACAACATGAATCCAAACACATAGCCCCGAATTAGTTATCCAAATAAACGGAGGAAGACCAAGAACAGCGCTGCGGAGCAACACTGACAACGACCATACGATCAACGATAGAGAAGCCGGTCACCTGGTACATTCTTCCAGTACGAAGCCTCCTCTGCAAACGAATGACCCCGCGCCCGTCCTCGGGCAAGACTCTTCAATCCTCTCGAGGCCCGGTCCTGTGTTCTCCTCAGCCTGACCAGACCAACCTCTAGGTCTTCAACTCGTCGTGAACTAGGTACTTCCCTCCCGCTCGTCTATGCCGGGAAGTGGTCTTCGGCCGAGCGGTTGGATCACCTGCCATCTCAAAGAGAGGCACACAGGTCGATACATTCTTGGATGATATTACTTCCTGTTACCATTCCTCAAGCGTAGCAATATTTGCCACGCTCAACGTGAAGTAGTTTCGGCTTGGTTAGCAACTTCTCCCCTGGCCACGCGTATTCTTTCAACTGGCGTTGAGTATATTTCTCGGACTCAAGGTCTTCATGCCCATACCCTCGAACTCTTCTCTATACTTTGAAGAAGGTCGAGGGCTAAGACGGTCCCCAAGAGCGATAGTCGCCACGTTATCACGCAGATGGCAAGTAAACTCATCATGTACATATCTCGTGCCTGTTCTGAAAACGAAAGCCACTTAACATATTGATAATCGCAGTCCACTCCATCATCCAACCGCCCACCGTCCACGACAAACCAGAAGAAGCCGGGTCACATTGAAAAAATCGTGCAACCTTCTTCTCTTCCCGTCGCCACTCATCACCCACAGAGGAAAACAAAAATAACCCCCGCCATGCCCGACACTGCCTCCTGCTCGTCCCCGAGTTTCGCGATCCTCCTCGATTCTTCCAGACTCCAAATTCGTCCACCCGACACGATCGAGCGTTCGGCCACAGTCAGCCAACCCAAACCCAGACCTGACATTGTGCTTTTCCGACGAACCACTTTCCTGATGAAGCAATTCGAGGAACGGGGGGCATGTGGCGGCGGCAAACTAAACTGCATGTACATCCACGCAGCGGCGCTACCGCGCATGAGATTGAAGGCTGAGGTTGTAAAGTTAACCCCCGCAAGGATGCAAACCATCACGAGGTCTAGATTGGGGGCCCACGGCCGCGATGAAGATCTGCAACGCGGCGAAGATGAGGGAAAAGGCGAAAAAGGACAATGCGCACAATAATATTATTATTATTTTGTGATCAATTTTCCAAGAGGGGGGGACGGGCGGTGGGGAACTCGGTTAGGTTATTGGGATGGACAGAGAGCGAAGTTAAGATGAACGATTACTGAGCGATTTGAGAGAATGGAGAGGGAAAACATCGTGCTTTTCGTTCTCTCACTCAAATTCACCAAGAGGAAGTTTCCCAGCCAAAACCCTTTGACGGCGGTGAAAGTTGCCTATTTGAGATGGTTGAGGATGGATGAGGATGGTCTTGTCAACCCGGCTCGGTTCGACCCAATCCACATTTGCATTGCATCTCTTGTGTCGTTTCCTTCTTACAATTTTTTACGCGACTGAATAGACAGCCTGACCTCAGTTTTTGATTGAGCCCCTTACACCTGACCCGGCAATTCGGGACTGGATCGCATCAATCAAAAGTCTCAGTGACGCCATTACCTCCAGACAACCTCAGACGTACCGAGAAAAAGACCCCGCTCCGACAGTTCGTCCCTAGCAGGACGGACAAGGCCGGTGTCCGCATTCCGCGAAAGGTCCGGGCCGGCCGACGTCGGAAACGTCGAACGATGGTGGGGAAGGGCGGGCGTTTTTCCAGAAACGCGCTCCCCGAACTCCGCTTCCGAGGCTCACTTCACGTTCCACATGGATGGGGGCGGGGAACCGTTCGTCGATTGTTTTCGAGACCGATACTAGGCGATGACGTTGTTGGATGACGGATGAGTCTGGGCCTGATATGTCGAAGAGAGTCGGATGGCGGTTTGCTAGATAGCAGTAGTATACCGTTTGTTGAGAATCTGATCAGAACTTTTTGTCACAATGCGTCAAGCATTCAACAGTGCCCGAGAATGTGTACCCGAAATCAAGTGTGGTATAATGAAGGCTTGTCTGTTTTGTCTTTCCGAAATTGCCAAATCGCTGCTGGCAGTACTGTTGAAGCACTTGTGTATACCAGAAAAAAAGAAAGAGAGAAACGGGGAACCCTAAACGCCGTAACTGGCTTTTAAGCAGAAAAGATGTCCTCCACCCCGCTCCACGTGCCCTTGGACCTCTCCTCCCAGTATGAGTCCTTGCCTGTCCTCAACTTCCAGACCTCCTCGCCCTCTGGGCCCTGTCCGGCCTTCACAAACCACTTCGGCTTGTGCTCTTCTCCCTTCTCTTCCAAGACGCGGCGGCGTGCTCGCTGTGCCTCCTCAAGCTTGACCTTCCACTCTTCGGCTTGATCCAAATCTCCCTTCTCCGCCAGGCGCTGGTCGGGCCTGAGTCTGCTGTCGGTCGGAGGCAACCTGCCCTTCTCGATCTCCGTGACCTCGTTGAGGGCTGCTGCAAAAGTCGTCATGCCGTAGGTGTTGGCGGCGTTGTCCACAAGCTTGCCAACGCGCCAGATTTCCTGACCTGCCGCCTTGCCAGCTTCGACAACTCGGAGGCCGCCGGTCCATGTTCCTGACAGACTGCTTCCTGTGTGGACACCATCCGGTCCGTACGTTTCCACTTGCACATCCTCACCTCGTCCTCCAAACATTCCCTTGCTGCGGAACTCAACCGAGGCTTTGGCACCTGTAGAATCGTTGCAGATCTGCATGACACCGACCGGTTCAACGTACTTCTCGCCCATCACCACGTTGCGCAAGAACATGGTGGCATGTGTCCATGAGTAAAGCTCATCTGTTCCGTCGGGCAGTCGAAGAGCAACACGGACGCGACCTTCGGTTGTGATTTCGGCACTCTTGCCCCAGAACTTTTGCGACGGAGCGGGCGATTGACTAAAAGACCAGTCGGCCGAGTCGGCCTGCATGGCGAGCCTGACGGGGCGGTGACAGACCTTTTCAACGACAAGACGGAACCCTCCTGGCACTTCTTGCTCAGTTCGGAGCATCTCGAACGTCTCACCAAGAAGAGGATTGAAGGGCTTGCGGATGGCGCGTTCCTTGGCTCGTCCGCTACTGAACTGGGAGACCGCAAACGCAGTTACGTAGAGTAGGCGATCCTTGGACTCTTTCTGCCGGGCAGCTTGGTCGAGAAGTTGGGCGTATTCCAGTTGCTCCGCCACTCGTTGGAGGAGCGAGATCGGCTCGTTCGCGGATACGGGCATACTGATAGTGCTGAGATCCTTGCCGACGTTCTTTCTCACAAAAGCGATGAGACTCGGGGGTTGGACCAGGGCTGGCGGAATCTTCGTTCGTCTGTCCACTGAGATGTCAACAGGTAGCGGCGACAAGCTCTTGGGCTTTGCTGGGTAACAGCTGGAGTCGTCCTGACCGGCGACGCCCGTATCCTCCTCTGGCACCGAAGATATCGAGGATGAGTCGGTAAGATTGCCCTCATCTGGTTCAGAATCCGGGCTTTCGTCCTCGCTTTGCGAAATCTTGACAATCTGGGAACTCGTTTCACCGGCCTCGGCATCGAAGAATTCGTCTGTTGACGCAGTCTCCATACTCCTGCGGGACGGCGCAGCAGACAACGGAGCAGGTGCTCGTCGGCGCTTGCTGTTGGCAATCAGCGTCGTGAACTCGGAAACAACTGAGTCAAGATCACTAAGGAGCGAGGCGCAATGCTCCTGCGTGCTTTTCTCTTCGTGAATAGAAGCTTTCGACTTCGACTTGGCGTGGCGCGGGCCGTTCGATGTGATAGTCGTTGTCACGCCACCGGGAGCCGGAACAGCCAGAGCAGTTGCCGCGGACGACTGGTGCGCCTGGGGAGTAGTGGGAGTGGGAGTAGCTGCGCTCGACTTCCGTCTCCAGAAAGGCCGCCTTTGGGTTTGCTGCTCGGCCGGAGGGGTGAAGTAGCTCTCGTTTTCCTCGCCCACACTACTGGGAGACAAGAAGCTCGACGCAGCCATGCTCACAGGCCTCTGGCTCGACATGTCCTTGACCAGGCGACGCAGCGCGTCTCTTGTTCCAACCACTCGACTGACGAGTGTCTCGACTTGCTGCCATTCACGGTCCTCCTCCATGCTCGACGCAGTTGGCTTCAGGTGGGTGGTGTTCACGCGCAATGGAGGAGCCCTGAGGTTCTTCGGTTGATCTTCACCGGCCTCGAAACCTCTCGCTGCACGGCTAGCCTTTTCCAGAGCTCGTGCCCAATCGTTGAAGTCCTTGGCATTGGATGCGCGCAGATGCCAGATTTCAGCGCCCGAGTCAATATTAATTTCCCTGCGACGCTCATCGGCTGCGATAGCTGCCAGACTCAGAGGGATGGCGCCACGTAGCGCAGACGAATTGCGATTGTAGTAGTAGGATAGCGTGCAAGACGAATAGTCGAGCGAGAAGAATCTGCGCGCATATCCTTGGCCCTTCTTTCTCCTTCTCTTGTGCAATATACCGGTATGATAGTTGGCGTTTTCGCTGCGTCCCGAAGCAGATGTCGGTCGAACTCCACCAGCCACATGGCTGTGGAGGCTATCCTGAGAGGCAGAGTTGACGGTTGTGACCTGGGGCAAGCTCGTTCTGCTGGCGCTCGCGTTCGCAGCTTGAAGGTTCGGGAAAGCGTGGGCGGTGGTCTGCGGCGGCGCGCCGGTCGGGTAGGTCAGGAGAACGAAGGTTGCCGTCTTAGATATCTGCTTGGAAAAGGTGTTGTCGAACACCAGGCCGAACATTCCTCCTTGGCCCGGCAGCACATCCCAAGTACCGGTCGAGACCTTGTCGGCATCGCATTTTCCGTGCCATTTTACTGGTATGAAGCCTTTGCTGGCAAGCTGCTCTTGGGCGGTACTCGTATCCCGCTTGCCAAAACGTCCCTTAGGTTCGGCTACGCCGGAGGTGAGTGTGCCGGAGGTCGCGGTATCGTCATTCTGGCTCGAAATCAGGCCGGTGGCGCCGGTGCCCGGGTGCTTGACAATGCCAAAGTTGCTGCCGAGGCGGGTTGTAAGCACGTGTCTAGTTGGAGAACCAGAGGAGGGGGGATGAGGAGGGGAAGACAGGTACACACATGGACTTCTTGTGCGGTTGAACGCTCCAGGATATGGTGTGGCCTTCGTCGACTTTGACCCAACGAACGATGTAAGACTACGACGGTGTTACTGTCAGCATGGTGATCTCCCGTCGGTAGTCGAACCGAGACGGAGCAAGAAGGGGGGGAATGCCGGACAAACGTACCTTGCTATGGATCTCCAACTGCTCAATGCCCGCCATTTCTGCGGGTGGGCGCCGGAGCTTGAGCTTGAGCTTGCGCAGTAGTTTGTGAAGATAACGAGTGCGCGGTTTCCGGGTCGGACGTAGGTCGTGTCGGTTCCAAAACTATTGACTGGACATGCTGCGGAGGGCGGCGGGGGAAGTTATGAATTCAACGGTCGAGGGAGGGATTGAAGTAGGTTATGGATGTAATGTTGGCGGAGAAAGACGAGAAGACGGGACGGGATGTGACACCCTTGTCCGGAGCTTGCAGGTACCTAGGCACCTCAGAAGTTCCAAGTTAGCACAAGGCGGCGGCGTAAGGTACGCGGACTGGTGAGTGTGGGAGGTTCGAGGTTCCAGGTTCCCGTCTTTTTGGACACCTCACCTCACCTACCTACCTAGGTACTTAGCCCAGCCACAGCACAGGTGACCCTTGGGAGTTGGTTGGGGGCGGAACGTCATTCGGTTCGGCGCCTCAGCAGGTGACTGGCTATTATTGGGGACCTGAGGGATAAGAAGCGGAGACGACAACACCCACGGCGAGGGGACTGAAGGGCTGTGCGAGAGTACGGTAAGCCGCGGGCGGGCGTGGGCGTGGGCGCTGGCGATGTGCAGGGCGAGAGCCAGCAATTACGGTGGCAGGTGCCCGGTGAGTGGATAATTAATAGGTGCGGCTGGTGAGGCTGGGCATGACATTGTGGTTCTAAAGTGCTAATTATTCCATTTGGACCCATTGCACTATGCCGGGCAATGATTTCACGTTGTTCCATTTGGTCAGCAATTCGCACTCTAGGCAGTCATCTCGGCATTTTGGCTCCTTTGAACGCCCTGAGAGATAGGCAACTCTGTCAATTTCTGTCCTCATTCATGTACCAGAGTCTCATCGCCTAGACGTTTGTGAGACGTTGCGCTACGCGGCGCCCGATCGCCCTGTCAAACCGACCAAGGCGGGCGCGGGCGCGGGCGCGGGCGCGATATCCGCGTATTGCCGTCGTTGGAAACCTTGGTTTTAATTTGTTCGTCACGCGTACGGATCCCGTACCGACGTCCCGTTTGGACCGATCGGAACACCAGCCTTGTCGACGGCGCCGAGAACACTCATGTCCGCCATCTCCCGGGACAAACACGATGAATGAAGCACTGCCACTTGACCGAATATCGGTGTCAATATTGAGCAAGATTACCCCGGATCTCAACTTTGAACCCCGTCGGAAACGAATTTGCGTTGTTACCACAACCTTGGCCATAATGCCCGTCACTACATCCCCCGTGCCCCGTGGAGGCCGGGCACAAAGCGTTGAAACGGCTGCGAGAGGGCCCCGAGGCCAGATAACGACTGGCAGGTCACCGGCAACGACGGCTGTCCGTCTCCTGTTTTCTCTTTTGCTGTGTGGGTAAAGACCGAAAGAGCCGTATTTCATCAAACAGAGACATACTTGTTATCCTCTCGGGGACTCCGGATGGCTCTGGCTTACAGGACTGGGCCATCGTTCCTTTGGGAACCTGTAGCTGAGTAAGTCGGTCGTACGAAGTGATAGATACCGATCGGTGATGTTGGATGTCAAGGCGATGAGGTCAGACGGCGACTTATGTCATTCTGCTCTGCGCTGCAGTTGCAGTTGCCAACGCGTTACACAACGCGAGTTGCAGCAGCTGAAACCATCACCCAATCATATACGGATAGGTACCGTAGCTCTGGAAACACGAGATTTGTACCCCAGTCCCGGCAACGACAGCGAGAAAAAAAAGAAGAAGAAATTCACATGAGAGATCTCGAGAACCCCTGAGCACCCTGGTATTGGTGGAGGAGAGAAATCAACACACCATCCCTGTCTTCGCCAGCACTCGGCAACAGCCGCAGCACCATTTCCGGAAAAACATCGGTCCCGCTTCCGTGGAGGGAACGCCCCGACCACCCTCGCAGACCAGCCAACCAGCGTCCAGGATGCAACCCAGAACAAGGGCCAGCCGAGCGCCAATTCGCGGATAGCCGAGCGTGGGGACGCTTCTAATCCACTTCCACGCGTTCCTTCCACGCTGCCAAACCAGATTGGGGTCTGTCCAAGGTTTGACTATCGCGCAAAGCAGCACTGCAACGCGCAGATTCTTTGGAGGGATTTCTCTTGTTTTTTATTTTTATTCATCATTAATTAATATTGCTCTTGGCCTCTCCTCCCGTCTCCTCTCCTCTGGGACCTCTTTGTCCAGACCCCGTAGCCTGCGCCGCGTCCCTAGCCCCCAGTCCAAGGCCTTAAGCACTATCCTCTTTCGGTTAGAGAAAACCGACTCCACCATCGATTTCCCCCCTCCCCTCCCTTCACATTTGCAGCAGTCACATTGCGAGTTGCACTGGTGTCTGGCGTCTGGCTTTCCGCTTCCCGGGTTCGACTTGTTGCTGTTGCCGTTGCTAATCGATCGTCTCCTTTTTCCCTGAATCGCGCATTACCACCACCATCCGCCATCCACATTCACGCTCACGCTCATGCTCACCCACCAACGCAGCGCCCACCTTTACCTTGCTTTGCTACCCGACTTCACAAATGGATACCTGCTGAAGCATTCTTCCGTCCTTCAATTCGCTCGCGCCGAGGCCTGTTGGGAAAACACCGCTGGAAAACATCTGCGACGAACACCTCTGGCTTCCGCTCCCTTGGCATACTCTTTCATTGCCTGCCCGTCTCTAGAATCTGGCTGTTGAGACTGATTCGCCTCCACCAAACCAGTCTCAGATACGACTCGACTCGTCTCGAACCCGACACCGCACTCAGCCTTCCCGACGCATGACGGAGGCCATGTTTGTGGTCGTGGTTCCCTTTCCTCCTTCGACATCGGGTTCCCTCTTCCCCAGTGCATAATTTCCATGGTACACCTTGTCTCTTAATACCCCTTCCTAATCCCATCTTTCTGCCCGATTATTCGCGGCTGTCACTGGCTCGCCCAAGGACCAAGGACCCCTCCATCCATCCACCTTACCTTCCCATTGAGCAATCGCGCCTTTGCCCGATTCAAACTGTTTACCACGAACCACAACGAACCACGCGCACCTATACCATCCACAACGTCGACCGTTGCATTCGTTCTTGATCATGACGGGCGTCCTGAGCAAGCGCCAGCAGGCGCGCAACGAAAAAGTCCTGCACGACTTGGTCCAGACCGTACCAGGGAACAACTTCTGCGCCGATTGTCAAGCACGGAACCCAGGTATGTGCAACAGTGCCCGCCATCCCGCTCAGACCGATAGTCGATACTGACAGTCGTTCGCAGCATGGGCCTCATGGAGTGTAAGCACGACGAACCCTATCCGCACCCTACCAATGGGACACGCCAGCGAGGCAATTGACGATGCGCGATATGATGGAGACTGACAAAGAGTATAGCTTGGCGTTTTTCTTTGCATGAGATGTGCTGCTATCCATCGAAAGTTGGGTACGCACATCTCCAAGGTGAAATCCTTGAGCATGGACAGTTGGTCCAACGAACAGGTCGAGGTTGGTCCAAATCACGCTCATATTTTCAGTGTGGCCATCTCTAAAACCATCTTTACAGAATATGAAGAAAGTCGGCAACGTCAGGTCCAACCAGATCTACAACCCAGACAACAAGAAGCCACCCGTTCCTGTAGACGCGGACGAGGCCGATTCAGCAATGGAACGCTTTATTCGCTCCAAGTACATGAACAACAACCCCGCCCCGGCGAGAAAACAACACACCGGCCTTTCAGACGAAGGCGTGCCGCCTCCTTTGCCGCCTAAGGCCGGAGGCAAGTTTGGATTCAGGTCTGCGTCGTCCATCTTTCCGCTCTCCTCCCGCTCGAAGAAAGAGGCCGCGATGCGTAACGTCTCGAACCCCAGAGATATGCCCCGAAGCCCGTCGCCGAGCGAACTACCCAATAAGCCATCCAAGGTTTTCGGCCTCAGTGTTCAGTGGGAGCAAGAGGATACAGAAAGGAAACTGGCCAGCCTGAGAGACATGGGTTTCTCAGACACGCAACGGAATGCCACGGTATTGAAGAGCGTCAATGGAAACTTGGAGCGGGCTATCGAGGCTTTGGTGCGACTGGGTGAGACCGACAGGAGGTCGCCCTCGTTGACGGGGCCCCGTGAAAGCTCCCTGCGCGCGACGCGCTCGCATGCGAACCTTTCGACGTCCAGTGGTCTATCCGCGCCGCAGCAGACGTTTAGTGAGGGGCCGCAGTCTCCTTCTACGGTTTCCAGCAACAACCCGTTCGATTTGCTGCCGCCCCAGCCGCAGTCTTCCCAGTCAACAGGAACGTTGGCGAACAAGAACCCTTACGCGAACAACCCTTTCGGCGGTCCAAGTCAGACGCAGCAAGACTTCAACCAGGCTTTTAACAACATGTCTTTGGCACCAGCTCAGCCCCTGTTCCCGCACCACACCGGTGGCCTTCCGTCTACGCAGCCCTTCGCCCAGCAGCAGCAGATCTACCAGCAGTCCATGACACCGCCGGTACCGCAAGCGCAGCAGAACTATAACCCGATCAACTTTAATAGTAATATGACGTACCCCCAGCCCCAGCCCCAGCCGCTCCAGCCGCAATCGACAGGTTATAACCCGTTCTTCGCAAACCAAACGCAGCCTGCTCCGACGCAGCAGAATCTGGCGGTCAGCACGAACAGTCCGTTCGCTAACAACCCGTTTGCGCGATCGCCCACGAGAATCCAATCCCCATCCTTGGGCCAGATCCCGGAGCAGACACAGTCGAACTTCTACACCACGTCGCCACAGCCATTGTCGCCGCAGAACACCAACCCGTTCTTTGCTCAGATGAGCTCACAGCCCACTGGCCAGCAACAAATGCCCGCCCCGCAGCAGCAGCAGCAGCAACCATTCCACCAGCAACAAGGCTTCCAGCAACTGCAACAGCCTTACCAGCAGTCTCCTCAGCCATTTCAACCGTCGCAGTTCCAGCCGCAGCAGCAGGTGCCCCACCAGCAGCAACAACAGCAGCCGCAGCAGCAGCCACAGCAGCCACAGCAGCAACAGCAATGGCCTGGGCAAGACTTTTTCGATCAGCAGCCACAGCAGCAGCAGCCTCCCCCGCAGCAGCAGCAGCAGCAGCAGCAGCAGATGTATCAACAGCCGCAGCGACCTGACAAGGCCTCTATCTTGGCGTTGTACAACATGCCGCAACTGGCTCCTCAGCCCTTCGCAAACCAGACTCAGACGCAAGAGCCGGTACAATCGGAGAACGCCGCAGCGCAGCAGGCCGAAGCTAACGGCCAAGGACCGGCCGCAGGGACCAAGAACCCTTTCCTGTCGAACGGACCGACCTCACCTGTTATGACCCAGAAGGATGTCGGACCGCGCAGGGCCGGCGTCAGTCGGGAGAGTATGGCATTCACAGACATGCAGTGGACGAACGGTCGACATAGCCCCGATGCTTTCGCCAGCCTAAGCGCGAGGCACATGTAGGGCGTGTCGTCGTTGTGGTGGATTCTTCTTGTACATAAGTGCCTTCTTTGTAAGATATCGTCGATTCGGGACGCTGGAAATTCGCATGCTATGACCTTTGGTGCCCACAAGATTACGAGGGATTCCCCTGCGCATACAATTAACTTTTCCTTCGTTCTTTGCTCTCGGTGCCTGGACAGTTATCTGTCATCTCATGTTGTTAGAGTTCACCTTGCCTTATTCAAACGTTGTGGGTAGAACGGTGCGTGAGCTGGTCCGCGGCCCGCGTGTACGGGCCAAGGCGGTCCCGAGATCGGCATCTCCGGGCAAAGCCGGCCGCACTAGACCCGGATCGGATCGGTGCTTGATCCTTCCCCCCACATGCGGACCGTCTAAGGTAATTACCCGCGCCGGTGTGGACACGTTAATTCACCGATAGCCCCGACGACTTGACCGACTTCAAATCCCGCGGTGACTCAAACCCCGGCCTCGACGGCCAAGATCCCGAGGTTTCACGCATCCGAGTACAAGTGGCACCGCATGGTCACATCTCAAGTGAGAAACATCATAGCTCACTCACTTCACAGATCGAAGCCACTTTGAATATCCCACAATGGCATCTCTCGACTTCCACGCCCGGCTCCGCGCCGCCCTTCCCAAGGACGACGCAGCCAACACCCTCCCACCGGCATCAGCCCTCGCCGACGCCTCGGCCTCCCTTCCCCGCCCCTCGGCGGAGGACTACCTCTCACCGCTGGGCACCGAAGCGACCCTCGCCCACATCCTGGACGAGATCGTCCCGGGCCTCAACGGCCAGGCCCGCAGCGGGCGCTACTACGGCTTCGTCACTGGCGGCACCCTCCCCGTCGCCGAGGCCGCTGACAACGTCGTCTCCGCCTTTGACCAGAACGTCCAGGTGCACCTGCCGGAGCAGACCGTCGCGACGGAGCTGGAGAGCGTCGCGCTGAGGATGCTCGCCGACGTGCTCCGCCTCGAGCCCGGCAGCGACGGTAAGGAGGAGGTCTGGACGGGAAGGACGTTCACCACCGGCGCCACGGCGAGTAACGTCCTCGGTCTCGCTTGTGGTAGAGAAGCGGTTGTCGAGAAGAGGGGCGGTAAAGTGGGCGAGATGGGGATCCTGGGTGCGTGTGCCGCGGCGGGCGTCAAGGAGATTCAGGTCCTGACGAGTATGGGACACAGCTCGCTGTTCAAGGCCGCGAGCGTGGTCGGGCTGGGCAGGGCGAGCGTCAAGGAGTTGAGGGTGAGTGATGACGAGCCGTGGAGGTTGGATTTGGACGCTGTCGAGAGGGAGCTGGGCAGGGCTGGGGTCGCGAGCGTTATCGCCGTGAGCGCGGGCGAGGTGAATACCGGGCGGTTCGCGACGGGGTCGGAGGAGATGAGGAGGTTGAGGGAGTTGGCGGATCGGTTCGGGGCTTGGATTCATGTTGACGGAGGTGAGTCGCGGCCCGTTGCTGGCTTTGTCTGGGAGGGGAGATTGACTGACCTTTTGCAGCGTTCGGTATCTTTGCGCGGGCTTTGGAAGACGCCCCCGAGTTCAAACAGATCAAGGCCATGGCTTCCGGGCTGGAACTCGCGGACAGTATCACGGTGGACGGACACAAGCTCTTGAACGTGGTACGTAAAGCCCTTCTTCTCAAGCCCAGGCCCTCCCTAGACGTCGAAGCCACTAACTCCTACCCCCTCAAAGCCATACGACTGCGGCATGTTCTTCACCCGCTCCCTCGCCACACTGACATCCGTCTTCACCAACCCCAACGCGGCCTACCTCTCCTCGGGCCCCTCCCCGATCCCGAGCCCCCTGAACATCGGCCTCGAGAACTCGCGCCGCTTCCGCGCCCTGCCGGCCTACGCCGTCCTGCGCTCCGAGGGCCGCGCCGGGCTCGCGGCGATCCTGGGCAGGATGGTCCTCCTGGCGCGCAAGATCGCGCTGTGGATCCGCGAGTCGGAGGCGTACGAGCTGCTGCCCGAGGGCGACTGGAGCCTGGAGGAGACGCACATGGTCGTGCTGTTCCGCGCCAAGGACGAGGCTCTCAACGAGGGGCTCGTGGGGAGGATCAACGGGACGAGGGAGATGTATGTCAGCGGGACGAGCTGGAAGGGCAGGAAGGCTGTTAGAGTTGCTGTGGGTAGTTGGAGGGTCGATGTCGAGAGGGACTTTGAGGTCGTCAAGAGGGTGTTGGAGCAAGTCAGGTCTTGAACAAGACTCCAAGCTGCCGGGTTGTCCTCGCCCTCGCCCTCCTGTAGGGTGTGTTTAGTAGCAATGAGAAAGACTTTTTTCCTTCAGCCGTGGTTCTCAGGCATTAGTTCCCGGTCCCAAAGCACGTTCGACGCAGGAGTACCTCCAGAGTTCGCTCTTTCCCTTGGTCAGCCCGCCCAAAACCACAAACCACCCAAGTTCCCACCCATCGTCTCCCATGGCAACACTTCACCTCTGCCCAAAATTTCATCCCAACTCTCAACTCCAGCCACGCTAACGAGCAGAAGAACAAAGCATTGAAGCCCTCAGGCCCGCTCTACCCTACTTCTGATCCAAATCCCCTCGAAGTTGTCACCGACAACAGAGGGCATCTCGTTAGGCGCAACGGGTCAGGACAAGTCTGTTGATTAAGTTGGTATTCGCCAAGGTCGACCGTTCGAATCCCGCACCGAGAACTGAAAAACCCGAACCCGAACTGTATACGATCGCACCGATCCGAGCGAACCCCCCGAGTACTTCCCAGCATGTGCACCAGAAATGTAGATCCCACCGGGGATTGAACTCTTTTGACCCTTTGACTCTATTGATATCTTCTTTCTTGCTGGGGCCTGACGCCGCGAAAACGTCTAGGTCACAATGTGTTGGTGTTTTTGCTTCTTACTGGTGGCCTGTGGCGTTTTGCTTCTATATATAAGCATTCTCCTATACGCGAAAGGGCACAGCGCAATAGTAAAGACTTTAAGGGAACGAAACATTTCAGAAGGCAGACAATTAAGTAAATCACGTAGAGAACAACTTGTCATGATGTGTGATCTATTCTGTGGTATCTACGAAAGCTTCTGTCTAGACATTGAGAATCTCCTCCAGGGGCACACCCCAGTACCAACTCGCCGCACCAATTGCGCCCACGCTCATCGTGAAAGCCATCAGGAAGTTCACGTCGTTGTTGTCCAGCAGATCCCATCCCGTCTCGATCACACGCGAAGGCTGCGCGTCGCCGAAGCTGGACTTGCGATGCTTGTCCTTGGGATCGTATCTCTTTCCGTCAACACTGATCTCAGGGGCATCAACATCGTCAATGGCACTATCCACCTTCTCCACGGCACGCTTGCCTTCTCCATGCAGCACAGCGGCCTTGACGGCGGCGCGCTTCTGGTTCTTGTCGGCGTGGTCGGCCGGGTCGGTGGACACCAGCACCTTAGTTCCGCCCTCCCCCTCGACGATCTTGCCAGTTCGCACATCTCTCACGGAGCGCTGGAAGACAGCGCCGAGCACGCTGTCGAGTAGACTTCCGAGAACGCCCCAGAGAGTCATGCCGAGCATGAACGTCGATCGCTGCTGGGTGGTCCAGGAGCCGAGACCGCCGCCAACCTTTCCAGCAGTAGTCTCGCCGCAGAAAGGCAGGAAGACCATCGAAGCCGTGACGATGATCATGGATCCAAGCGCGCCGGCGGCGATACCAAGTGGCGTCACACCTCCATTCGTGCCTCGCGGAACCTTGCGGAAGGTAGGGGATGTAATCAAGCGCGGCTCGCTCTTGGCCAGGATTCCCAGCTCGGAGCTGAAGGTATCGGCAGCGACGGCGGCGTAGTTGGCAATGATGCCGATGACGAGGAGGTCGCCTCCCCAGGAGAAGCAGAGGGTGCCGTCGGGGTTCGGAGTAGAGGTGTCGACGATCGCCTCCTTTCGCTTGTTGAGTTGGTAGGCGTGGAGCAGAGACAGGCAGGAAGCCATTAGGGAGTTCGCGAAGACTGCGTTGCGAGAAGGTTAGACCGTTTGAACTTCTAAATAGCTCCTATAGGTGGTTCGACTAACCTTGAACGTGGGTGCGAGGACCCTCTCCTCCTGAAGCGCCCGCAGAAGCGACGGTCAGAGTAGCCTTGACATCCTTCTTGACCTGAGGTAGAGACAGTCAGCGCTGTTGACACTATGTTTAAATAATGGCCGTACCTTCGTGGCCCTTGTTCCGGCGAGGAAAAACACGCAGAGCAGCGCAAAAGGAAGGTTCCAGGGGTGGTAAGCGTGGGCGATAGCGGTAATGACGGCAGCGACGATGCCCGCGGGGGTGAGAGATTGGTGCGACCAGGCCCGGTAGACCAGAGCCAGAGTCGCCGGAACGGCGTAGATCGCTTTCATCGTGGAGTTTGCTCGACAATCGCGTAGTTGTCGGGTTTGGGATGTCCTTGCGACCTGTGAATTGAGTGACGGACCAAAGTCCAACAATCCTGTAAGGTGGGATGGACTGCGGAAGGACGTCAGCGCCACGTGACGTCAGTCCTGATCGAGCTCCAAAGGTGAGGTGAAGTGAGCTTTGGACCCTTGCCCGTTTCGCGCGGGGCCCCTGCACTTCCCCGTTTTGATACTAGTAGCTGCATATATTCTGGTAAGCGCACTTTACGTGATGTAGCTGCTTAAAAGCATAGGCGCTTACTCTCCTCGGTTCTTTGATTGAGGCCAATCTTCAGCTCTCGATCATACCGTCATTCAGCCTATTTCGGACCAAGATTCGCCGACACTCTGAAGGATGCTGACGCCCCCGGGGAAATTCTGTTTTGGCCCTTAAAATGGCGAGGGCACCTTGCCGCAATGCGGCGCAAAAGTGATGCTTAAAAACGCAGATGATCCTATCTTGCTTTTTGGAATAGCCACCGGGTATCCTCTTCAGAGCGCATTCGACAGGACACAATGAGACCACGCCCAACCGCCGATTCACAACCTTCTGCTGCGGCCCGATGCGAGCAGCCGTCGGATCCCCAAGAGCAGTCACCCTTCTTCCGCCTTCCCTGGGAAGTTCGCAACGACATCTACAACATCGCATTCCCCCGCATCGTCTCGCCGCAGCTCATCTACGCAGACGTTGACGGCAAGCTCTCATTCAACGAGATCGGGACTGCCACTTCTGGGAATCAACGTCTGCGTCGCATCGTGTGCAACGGCGTATTTGAGGACCATGGCACCGAAATCACCGGCAGGCGCAGGGCTGCACGAAATCATGAAGATGGAGACAATAGCCCGTACGCCAAGAGCCTCCGAGAAATGTACCATCGCTCTCCCGACGAGCTTCTCTGCCCGCTTCCATTGTTGCTCGCTTGTCGCCGTATGTACGAAGACGTCGCGCCTCATTGTGACCAGTCACTCGCATTCCAAGACTTTTTGACGCTCGAACTCTTCTTCGCCAAAGTGTCGGATGGGGTCTTGGCCAGTGGCCTGTTGGACCGTATGAACAAGGTATCCCTCGACATCAAATTCACCCACGACGGCGCGTTCAAGCCGTCCTCCAGAAAGAAGATCCTTGCAAGCTGGAGTGCGGCGTGCAAAAGGCTTGCATCTCTGAGAAGCATGCAGAACTTCCGAGTTCGACTCGAGATACCTTTGTCTCAGCAAAGCTCGGTACCAGGAAATGTCCACGTCGCCATGATTAAGGAGCTGGCTTCAGTTGCTGCACATGTTCCTGAGGTTGAAGTCCAGTTGATGTTGACGTCGGTGGTTCATCCCAAGTCGGAACGGATTTGGTCGTACCGACCGGGAAAGCCAAGGAATAACCGTGGCTTCCAAGTGCCTGGTTGGACGGAAAGAATAGAGGAATGGGGATCATTCACGAAGCTTGATGAAGAACCGCCGCATCTGAGGACTTGAAGAAACAATTGACCATCTCCAAGAGATGCGATCCAATGTCCTGTCAATGGTGGGTGATTATGGGCCCAATCAGAATGAATGGGTATGCGATTACACCATCCGTATCGATCTATCCACAATGTCGGTCCGATCCAAGCTTAGCTTATCCGACCCCGGAGTCGGCTCCTTTTTTGCTTAGCGAGAATCAAAGAGCTTCATGATTCATGAAGACGGAGATACGATACATCCCGCTCATCTAAAACCACAGGCAATGGACTTTGTGTGATAATTATCTGTGGAAAACAGAAGAGACGTTCTCTTCTGCGAATACACTCGGAATTGCCAGTCAGGTCAACTGATAAAAGGTGACGAAATAAATAAGCACAACGTGCTGCCGGTCGCAATTTCTCACTCCGCAACAACCTCACGGTTTCTTCATACACTCAGACAAGATGGCGGCGGACGTAAGGCATGAGCAACAGCAAGAGCCCAAGGCCGTAGTCAAGAACTACAAGGGTTTCGTCGCCGGAGTCTTCTCCGGCATCGCGAAACTCACAGGTTTGTCAACCCCATCTCATCTCATCTCGGTTCGATCGCTGACGCTGCGAAGTCGGCCACCCATTCGACACCATCAAAGTCCGCCTCCAAACAACAGACTCCTCCCGCTTCAGCGGCCCGCTCCAATGCGTCGGCCAAACGCTTCGTAATGAGGGCGTACCCGGGCTCTACAAAGGAGCCACTCCGCCCCTCGTGGGCTGGATGTTCATGGACTCGGTCATGCTAGGTTCCCTCACCGTCTACCGCCGTCTCGTCGCCGAGCGCCTGTTCAAATTACCCGGCCCGGAAAACTTACCGTCGTACGGCCACGGCATCGCGGGCATCATGGCCGGCAGCACCGTCAGCTTCATCGCCGCGCCCGTCGAGCACATCAAGGCGCGGCTGCAGATCCAGTACGCCGCCAACAAGGCCGAGCGGCTGTACAGCGGGCCCGTCGACTGTCTCAAGAAGATCTACGCGCATCACGGCGTCCGCGGCGTCTACCACGGCCTCAGCGCGACGCTGCTCTTCCGCGGTTTCTTCTTCTGCTGGTGGGGCAGCTACGACGTGTTCTCGAGGTGGATGAGGGACAACACCAAGTTGAGCGCGCCGGCGATCAATTTTTGGGCAGGCGGGCTGAGCGCGCAGATCTTTTGGCTCACGAGTTATCCCTCGGACGTGGTCAAGCAGCGCATCATGACGGATCCGCTCGGTGGCGGGCTGAATGACGGCACGCCTAAGTTTAGGAGATGGAAGGACGCTGCGGCGACGGTGTATAGAGAGGCTGGGTGGAAGGGATACTGGCGAGGGTTTTTGCCGTGCTTCTTGCGCGCATTCCCTGCGAATGCGATGGCGCTGGTAGCGTTCGAGGGCGTCATGCGCTCGCTGCCTTGAGCGTACAGTTTATTATGTGCTGTACTTATAGACAAGATACGGGACGAGTAGACGTGGGCGGACATCATAGACTGTACGAGGATACCCAAAATCACTTCTCACGGATGCATCAAGACGAAAGGAGAGTCGTGTGGTGGCAGATCAACAAGCACACGAGGATGCTAAACTTATGGTATTTCCCATTAACCTTGCCAGAGCCATTTTATGGCATGTCCGACCCAAGTAACCTGAACCAGATCCGCGCACACGTAAGACCATGTTACTGGTCAACGTTTACTCGTCATCCTCCTCATCGGCGTCGTTGACGACGTTGAAGAACTTGAGCTCGTAAACACCCTTGGAGGTGGAGACGACGCGGAGCCAGTCACGGAGCTGCTGCTTCTTGAGGAACTTCTTGGTACTGTAGGGCGAGAAAAGGGTCAGTAATCTGTGCAGGAGGCGTGGGCGGATTCGCGGGAGATCAAGCTCACAGGTACTTGAGGTAGCGGCCGGAGAGCTCGTTGTGGGCAACGATCTCAATCTTGCCCTCACCAGACTGGGAGATCTGGACCTGGTCGCCGAGGTTGCCGACGCGGCCCTCAACCTTGATCTTGTCCTGGAGGAACTTCTCGAAGGCAGCGACGTCGAAGATCTTGTCGGAGGCGGGCTGAGAAGCGTTGATGATGAACTGTTGGGCAATTGGTTAGCATCGTTGCTTGGACGGGTCGGTGGGCGGTGTTCCTTACCTTCTTGGTAACCTTCTGGTTCTTGCCAGCCTTGCCGGTGCGCTTGATCGCCTGTTGAAAAAATGACCTTAGCCTACTGTTTCACGCCGCCGCCTCTTTCGAGGCTTGGCCAACAGCAAAGCGGTGTGATCATGTACATACTGCTTGAGGAGCCATTTTGGACGGTTGTGTGGAACGCAAAGAGGTGTTATCCTGCGTGTGTTGGTTGAGTGTGGTGAGGGAAGAGGTTTTGTCAATCGAGATCTGCTGAGCCTGTCTTCACGATTTTTCCTGCAGAGTGGGTTTTCGCTGTGGGTTTGACAAAAATGCCCTCAGAAAAAAATTAGGGCAACGGAAGAATGGTTTCCCCGGATCGAGAGCTTGACCGAGGCTGGGCCCGCCTGCGCTCGGTGAGTGACGGGAGCTCGGGCCTGGCGACCGTCAGGGCACCGGCCACAATGGGAATGTGGGTCTGTCTCTGAACAAGGTGCCCCTGAATGTAAACGGTTGTCTTTCTTTCTACTCCCTCTTTTGACCTCATGCTGATACCAGGGTTTGCTTCTCATCAGAAATGACTTGATCAACAGAAACAAACTCGGTCGCCATGGTTCGCCCTCTCTGTATCTGGCAGTCTGCCTAAGCCCCCACGTCAGAGGGACCATGCATGGACACGGCGTGAATCAGCGGAGTAATTCTAAGAATAAGAATACGATGGACGGCCCGTCATTGGCTAAAGACGTCCACAGTTCAGTCTCATTTTCTCCAGTCGGCCCGCGACTGAGCACCAGTCAGCTCTCAATCGCAGCAATCTCCTGGTGCTCGTTGATAGAAATCCCCAATTATAGTCTCCTCGTGACTGACATTGAGGCTCCAGGTGGACCGGAAGACTTTGGTTGCGCCAGGCGTTCCGTCACCCCAGAGAAAGTCGGATCCCGCATCCGCGAATTTTCCTCGGTCTCAACTTGAAACACATTCTATGTCCATTACAGAGAAAGATGGGCGCCTCGTATCCGATGAAGCTCCATTCAGTCCGCCAAGTTGAGTTGAGCATCTGTAACCCGGTGTCAGAATCGCAAGAGGCTCAACACGGATGGCGAAGCAGCATCGCGGCGCTGCCCGCAGACTTCAATTCGAAGCGAGATTATACCGCGTGGTATAAAATAGTCAAAGACTGACGCAATCAATTTCCCATGTACTGGGGTACTTAGGTAGGCAACCAGGCTGGGTTCTCCGAGAGGGGCCTGTGATCCGGGAAAGCATTCAATAGCCGGACTGGTCGACCTTGCTCGCGCACCTGCTCGACTTGAAGCTGGTCGTGGGTGCATGGACACCAGTCAGAGCTTCTGTTCTCCTATGGTTCATCTTCTTCTCGTGGGGAGCATTCGCTACGTTACGGGAATGCATGAAATGCATGCGCGTCCTTACTTTGCTGCCGCTGATACCCATCAGTCAACGTCATCAAAAGGCGTATTGAAAGGCGTTTGATGACTGGGTCAATCGAGGTGGCCGCGTAGTCTAGAAATTCCGAGCAAGAGAGGCTGATCAAGAACGGTCGTAGTGCGTGTCGTTCTGTTATCGACACAAGGGCGAGAGGACGCCAGATATTGATGGTGTGAACCATTGTGGGGATTGAATGCATTCCCATGTAGGTTATATGCCGAGTACACACACTCTTCTTGGGTAAGGCAGCTCGCCATTGGCTGCTATTTGAAGACCTCAGTGCAAACCCCGGTGACCGATATTAAGTATTCCGCCCCCGGTATGTCGGATACTGACGAAAGTCGGCGTTGTATTGCCAGAACGGCATCCATGTCATCCCGGATGAGGAATCAAGCTTGGGATATGGGTCGCGACGAGACGAAGTTGTCTACTCGCCAAGACGTTAGGCTTGGGTGAACAACCCGGCTCACCAGGCCCCTGGTATCAACTCGTAGGGGCGTCTTGGTCGCGAGAGCATAGCAACGACCGGCCAGTAGCAGGGCAAGAGGTGATGCGATGCCGGTCTTAGATGTTGCGCATCTGCGATGAAGACATGCAGGTAGCTATCCTCGCCAATGGCCGTCCACGCGGGTTCCCTCCCTGCGACAAGGGTGCTGGCTAAACCTAGGACGGTCCCTGAGGCTGCTTCGAAGCAATATTCCATAACCAGGGCGAGGCTTAATCGAAATCCGGGTCATTTCGGGAACTGGTCTTTTTGCGAAGATGAAAATGCAGATGGATTGGTTCAAGACGAGCGTGCCTAAGTGACGCGATGCGACCTGAATGACCCTAGCAGGAGCTCAGGATCCACGTGATCATCTGTGCACGGTTGGGGTGCACCTGGCCTGTGCATGTATCCGTGGCCATTTTATGCATAGGGCTGAGATACGTACCGAAAAGGCCCCCAATCCATCCCGTCTCTTTTCACATAGAATCGTCATAGCAACAATACCCTCTGCAGTATTGACTACCAGAGAAAAGGCGTTTCTTTCACAATTGCTCCAGAATTAGGCATCCAGTCCCGTGGCTGTGTTTCTGCAGGGAAGCCTGTTTTACTGGGAACCGTTTGGGCCAATGGCAGCTCCAAATAGCGCGTCGTCCACTTCGACACGATTCAACCTCGACAGCTTCCAATCGTCGCCCGCGTCGTCACTCCCAGTACCGTTACATTTCCGAGAACTGAAGACCAGTTAGCTTCAGCGGTCTGAACTCCCTTTCCGGTTGGACCTCGGTGAAGTGGAGACGTTCGACCGTGAGTCGCCGAGTTGCTGCTTTAATTCGCCAAGTTGATGGAACCCAGCTTCCGGCCAATGTTGCAACACACCATCTCCAATCTACCTCGCTGCCATCCACTGAGGTATGTTATCGTACATGCAGACTAATTCAGTCATCTGCCGCAGATGTAAAGTCAAAATTTGGTGACCAATATCTCTCACTCACATGCATGATCTGAACCAGTCTAGGCATCTTAGTGTCTCCCCAACTTACAGTACGTTGCCTAATACCCTTCGATCTTGCAGTAATCGAAGTACAATATTGATTGTGCCTAAAGTACAATCATCGAAACCTGAGTTCACGGGGTGAGAACCGCGTCTTAGTGCTGAGTTGACTCGATGGCGTACTCGTAGATGGTGATGGGTGGTTGAGAATTGTCGACGGCCTCTGGGAACGTTACAGAGGGCATTCTCATGACTATCAGATGAACCCTGTCGACTTCGCTGCACTCCCGCTGCGGGTTGAGATGAACCGTGCCGCGACCCAGTTGTTTGGGAACCGGTACTTGCAGATGTGTGTCGGCCGCTTCCTACAACCAGGCATCCTTGCGGATCCCATGCAGCTTCCCTGGCTTTTGATCATTCTTGAAGGCAGGTAAGTACGACTTACGTTCTATAGGAACGAAAGCACACATGTTCTTCTGTCTGTACATAGTATGTTGGGTTCACCGCCGTCTCCGGATGTCACCAGAGTGCCTCGCAAACGACATCTCGCGACAATTTAGGACCCCACCCCTTCTCCAACCATCATATCATGGCGGCTCTGTGCGCCCTTGGAGTATAACGAATACACCGGAATCTTCCTCACGCCGCTTTCGCCAGCCGGAGCTGTCCGCCTCGGAATAACAGCTCAAACTTCTGTGTATGTCTCTCCGGTCTGTAATGGGCTTTCACGTCTGTTGCCTTGCATCAAAAGAGCCAGTCGTATTCTAATATCGAAGCCTGAGTCACTACGCATACTTTTGATGGTGTGAACTGCACCTAGGCATTTACTCTCGACTATTCGTCCATGAATAGTAAAGATGGCGTACATGAGGCAAGTGGTTTGTTCCTCAAAGATTGGCATGCTACCTTAAGAAGGAAAACTATAAAACGGTTTCAAGGAACTTCTTCGAGTCTTCTGTTCTAATGCCCTTCAGTATCACCACTCCACACGCAGCGAGCACCGCAGCCATGATGAGAATAGCCATTGCTGGAGCCGGGGGTTTCGCTGCAGTCCTCGCCCTCCACATCTCTGAAACAGCAAATCCCATAGTTATTCTCTCAAGAGAAGTAATTCAAGCCCACTATTGTGCCGGACAATGACTAACTCGTCTGTCAGCCGCAACCAGAATTCGAGCAACAGTACGAGTGTCAGGTTGCCGTCGTTGACTACGACGACGATGAGACCCTGAAGTTCGTCCTCCAGGGAATCGACATCGTCATCTCAACGATTCGCGGTCAAGAACAGATCAACCTTATCAAAGCCGCCAGGAACGCCCGAGTCCGTCTTTTCGTCCCAGCCGAGTTCGAGGGCTGCCTCTCACGCCGTCCGTCATCATCCAACCACCCCCTTGACTTCGGTTCATCCGAAGCGATCGAGCTCCTCAAACACTGCGCAAGCTCCAAGTCCAAAAAGATAGAGTACACCGTATTCTCTTGCGGCATTCTGTATGAGCGTTTTGCCCCAGGCGGTCTGGAGCAGTACGGTATGGGAATGCGCGAAAACATTCAAGCCCAGGGGAGCTATCTCGTCGACGTTGGCAACTGCACCGCAGACATCGTCGAGACAAACTCACAGGGACGCCCCGTACAGGTCTCCATGACTTCGGTCGCAGACGTTGGCCGGTTCATTGCTGCTGCTCTCGACATTGGCCCTGGCAACTGGCCTCGAGAGTTCAAGATGCGCGGCGACCGAATGTCCGTCCGTGACATCTTTGCCAATTGCAGCAACGTGCGTGGAGGTAAGCTCTTGAAGCATCTCATGAATCCGAATCAAAGGGGTACTTGACTAACTCACACGCCCAGTCGCCTTCTCCCTTCGAACCCGCAAATGCTCCAAGCTCTCCAGCGACCTCGCCCACTACGCACAGAGACAGAACTGGGACCAGTGGTGGAACATCCAACGCCTAATCGCTACTGCCGAGGGCCGTTACGACTTCCGCCAGGCTGATCTCAACGAGGCCGTTGACTTCCAGCCAGTCAGCTTCAGGAGCTGGCTGGAGGCTCAATGGGGATCTGGTTAACCTGGTTTGCTCTCGGACATAGGCAGCCCAGGGTGTGTGTACGAATGTGATGGTTTTCTTTACGATATTTCCTCTTTCACTCCTTCCCTGGCTTTGTTGCTAGCCTACTCTCGCCCCACACTCTCGCTTGGCTGTGTTACTCGAGGGGTTGCAGACATATGCATCATGCATGTGCTGTGATGGGATCTTTCTGGGCATCGTTTGCTTTACTTTTCCTTCTTGGCTGTCTTAGATTAGAACACGGCCACAAGCTTTGTGGTCGGCTGGGTCCGAGGTCGCAAGACTTGGTGGTTATTCAATTGAATACGCTCTTTTTGGAAACACTGAAATGTGGCACATCTAAGTCGTCTATGAGACTGTAAAGATCCCCGCCATAGATGAAGACTTGTGCAGAAACGTTGAAGACGGATATGTCCTGTCAGGAACGCACTTGCTGAGCTCGAAACGTTCATTTCCCAGCCTTACCAGGCGAACCATCGAGAAGGCAACGGGCCGTTGCCCCTGAAATTCCACGATGATATGAGTTAGCGTTGCTGCAGCTGGTTCCAAGTTCCAGGAAACCCACCCACCCCCCTCTCGAGCTGCGCCTCATAAGGAGGGTTGCATGCTGACATCTTCCCAACCCGTCTCCCCCTCTCCCCGACGCCTCGGTAAACGCCTTCAATTGGCCAATCTGCAAGGACCCAGGCCACAGGTACGCATGTCCTAATCTGGTAGATGAAGCTGCTGTGCCGTGCGCCGTGTGATGGCGCGGGGCATGTGGGAGATGTGCCACCGCTTGCATGCTCCGGGTCCCTTTGTTCGGAGCTCTTGCCGGGTACTCGGGATGCGTTTACGACCTGTTGAATCTGAATGGAATTATAACGTCATTTAATCATGGATCCTGTTCCCGGTCGGCGGTATTATGGAGATCGGTGAGGCGATTTAGACGCCTGCTTGCTCGGTCCTGGCCGACCTCACGACCGATCGAGTTCCCTCCTTCCATTTACGTCGGTTCCGGTGCCATGGTAACGGTTAATTACCGAACGTTTCGTTGCCTCGTTCTTGGGGCGTTCGGTCATCCCGATGGAAACCGCAAAACTGGCGAACTGTTCTGCTCGTCTCGTCGTCGGGATCAGGAGCAATCCAGTTGTGGCATACCTAGTCACGCTTTCGCTTGATTGAGAGCGGGGTAAACTTATTCTAGATTCTTGGGAAACTGCAGTGACTATTAATAAATGTGAGCCTCTTTATGGCCTATATCCAGGCTCTATCCCGAGGTCATGCCGGTATTAGCCTCGACGGGAAGATCTCAAATTCGAGGTTCTCATTCCACCAGGAGGAACTTTATGGCGTAAGCCAAACGAAACCTGCACCATCTAAAGCAAATGGCGTGAAGTAGTCGAGTTGAAGGACAATCAAGGCCAGAGTGGCATTTTCAAGAATGCCACGACTATACTATCGTTTACGTAACATTGCTTTTCAGGTTCCCATACTCTCGCTTGGGGTCTGCTGTGTGTGCTCCGAGGTCGTCGTTCTCCAGATCGCGATGTACATCGAATAGTGAGATCATCTATATATAAGACGCTGTTACGCTCCCATGAGTCCGGCTGGAACGATGAGTCGGGACAGAGGCGGTAATCAAGAATAGGCATAAAGACCGAAGATGGCCGGCTAATTGGCTTGACAATGCTTTTGCTGATCAAAGCAGGAATTTTCGTGGGTATTTATGACACCTCTCTGTTGTTATTCGGCTTCGTTGGTGTAAACATGTGGGTATTCCCGGCGGCCATACATCTGGTCCTGCGCCAGTCATCGAGGGAGTCATGATCCCCGACAGACCAATATTGCAGACAGGAACCTCCTCCACAAGATCATCAATCACCTGATTCGATCTTGCAGCTTCATCTGGGTGGGTTGCTTGCTCTCCAGGGATCGATGTGCATATTCGGAGTGTTCTTATACGCCTTTAGATGATCGGACAGAAACCCCTGATGCTTCAGAACGGGGCCACTCTCGTCTTATTCTGCGTCCGCAGCGTGGTATAACACAAGATCAGTCATTCAGCGTCGCTTTATATTCTAAATATATGCATCTTAATGTCATATCTGCACTCGCGACCGAGAATACCTCCTGCCTCCTTCCAGAAGTGGCAAAAATAATAGAGGGCAAAAAAACAAAAAAAAAGAACCGAATGGCAAAAGGCACAATCGAACCTTTGAGCTCCAACAACCAGAGTAAGCATGTCCGGATCAGGATCGTATGAGGACCGATCTAACCCCCTGGGCCACCTTGCCCTGCTTGTTGGTGAAAGGAAGGAGCGCAAACCTCTAGATAGAAGGGGGAGTTCGGGGGAGGGAACATGGGATGGACCAGCTTGGCTAGAAATATTACTGTAGCTAGATACATTTCTTTTACCGTTCTACAGCTAAAATTTGCCTTCCTACCTATCTAGCGTGTGAAAGCTCCGAAAAGATAGAATGACGTTGTCGGCGCTCCTTCCCATTCTTCGTTCTGATGCTCATCTCACGAGAGTGCTAGGCCCCACAACCCACTTCTACGTAGTTCGAATATTCAACGCTGACGAATTCTTGGTCTTTTGCAGCCTCTCTATATAAACCTTTTGAGGGCTTTGGGTCGTTTGGTCTGTCCATGCAGCCCATCGGGTGCTGCCTCGCTTCGTGCGATGTTGGTACAGGATCTGTTCGCTACTCAACTTCCTCTCCCTCATCTATGCAGCGCTGGACGAACCATCAAGACAGGGTTTTCTATTCTGAAGCACGATCGCAGACATTTCCACACCAAAACGACGAATCGTAGGCGCACTGGTCTTACGGCGAAAGTGAAGTGGATGCTATAAAAGCCCGCGGGTTATGCATACGTCCAACATCTCAAACAGTGACAACCTCTGTTGGGTGTTAGCTCGCCGTGGAAACGATACGGGACGTAAGACTGATCCCAGGTGACTGAGTCTGAGTTAATGTGAGAGGTGCCAGCTCCTAATACGTTACGTCACATACATGGGTTCCCTATTTGCTAGTGTTGAGTCTTTTCATCTTTAATGTAGTTGTCTTCAGTATAGTCGTCTTCAGTCTGGTATTCAAAAGGATCAATCAGTCAGTTGACCTATCGCGCATTTCGAGAAGCCAAGGAACAAATTTCACAGACAAGCAGACACTACTCCGTGGCCAGTCAGGGTCATCCCTTCAACGCTGCATCTCAATGGATTTATCACCAAGCAGATGAAAAAAGAACTGACTGTCAATTAGAGAAAACATCTCACATTCACAGCTGAACAAATCGGCAAGACATGATCTCCGTAGACCGATCCCGAACGGGACCCACACGCCCCGTCTCCGGCACCTGAAGCTCCGGCCGCGCGGCATCCGATCCATCCACCACACCGCACCTTGCTTCGGGTTCCTCCCAGCAAACCCCCTCCCCGGACCGCTACCGACAGCCGACCGGTCGGCCACAGATCCTCCTCCCATCGCGGCTTTCTTGGTGAGAAACACTCGGCACACCCCAAGAAAGCGCCCCCCAAAACAACGTCCCACATTCCTGTTACAGCACCCGGTCGAAACGACGCGGGATCGGCGGCGCACAGATCCTCGCGTTGCTTTCGATAGTAACACCGGAGGGAGGCTCGTTGCTTTACGTTTCCGACGTATCACGGGGTTTCTTGGCGGGGGGGGGGGGGGCGCGAACATGGCTGGAGTTGCGTGGCCCGCCGGCTACTTCTGCAACTGCCAAGCGCAGAGACTTGAAGTATCTTGATCCGTGTCGGAAGGGATACAGGGAGAATTGTAACTGAGCGAGAATTCGAAGTGGAATTGAACCCTCATCGTTACCCCCACGTTCCGTAATCGAGATCATATATAACATGTTCTGAAGACAGCCGCCTGATATTCCCATCCCCATCTAAAACCACCACATCTAAACACCGTCCACAACAAACCCCATCCTCCATCCCTCTCCAACCTCCCAAACCCCCACAACCAAACCCAACCAAAAATGTCAAACACAAAACCCATCCCCACCAGCGACTACGAAGCCGTCGCCGCCGTGGTCAACGACTTCTACATCGCCGGCTGCGCCAAGGGCGACAGCACCCTCCTCGCGCGCGGCTTCCACAAGGACGCCGCCATGTACGGCCACATCGGCGGCCAGCTCCTCGGCGGGCCGATCCAGATCCTGTACGACTTCATCGGCGCCGGCGGCGAGGCGCCGCGGATGAAGGCCCGCGTCGACGTGCTGGCGATCACGCCGACGACGGCCGTCGTCAGGGTGGACATGGAGCAGGACGCCGCGGGGAACAACTACACGGATTTCCACTCGCTGTTGAAGTTTGACGGGGAGTGGAAGATTATTTCAAAGGTCTTTCATACGTATGCTTCGTAAGGAGCGGATTTGCGACTGGAGAGAGGGAGGTGAGCTCTTGGCCGAAGAAGGGTTGGATTGGGAACTAAGTGTTAATTTGAAGGGAATCACGAAGAGGCACAATAAGAGGGGCATTTGCCACGCACTTAAATCGCAAGTTCTGATAGGTTGCAGTGAAGGCACATTAAGCCTTGGTATTGTCATTCCGTGGACAACGTGTAGCTATTGTACAGACTACGCCAGATATCACTGGCAAGCAATGAGGTAGACATTGCTTCTTGATGCGTAATCCTCATCCTGTATGCAAATCCCCTCCTTTCATTCCACGGTATTCCCCAACGATGCAAATGCTGATACCGGACCCCGTAATGCTATGCCGAAATAAAAAGTGAAAACGTTGCCGTATCTTTTCCCGGCTATCCCTCCTCCCACACCGTTCCTTAATAAGTCGAGTTTCTGTTCCGCTTCGTGAACAGAACTTGTGTAAACAAAAGAAAAGGAGATTTGTTCCCCCTCATCCAGTCGAATAGAATTGGATATGTACAACGCCGCAACTGTGGCGGCTTAGTTGTCGTGCCTGAAGGTGCACTTGTCGCCTCTGGCACACTTGCCCTGCTGCCAGAAGCTGCACGGCTTGGTACCGATGAGGGCGCGGTTGACTGGTCGATGGGGAGGAAGCGTGGCTCCGCCCGGGGCATTGCCTTTGCGGTTCTTACCCTGCTTGCCTCTGCCCCCTTCGCGGTCGCGGTCACGGTTCCTATCCCGATCGCGTCCACGGTGATCATCGAAGTCATCGCGACTATCTCTATCGCTATAGTCGATCAACTTTCGACCGTGAGAAGTAGGCTTGTTATACGAATTCTCGGACGCGTGATCGACTGGAGGTTCCGGAGCCGGCGGAGGCTGTTGCTGCGTGGTTTGCTGTTGCTGCGGTTGCTGCTGCATCTGCGCAAACATCATCAACTGCTGGTAGCCCGCATCTTGTGGGTTTACGCCAAATGAACTAGCTTGAGGCGCGCTCTGGTCAGGTTGCTGTTGGCTCATCTGCGCCAGAATTGCATGAAGCTGGGCGTCGCCGAGTTGCGTTGGTTGCGCCGCCGGAGCCGGAGCCGGTTGGGTGGGTTGCTGAGACTGACCACCCATGGACTGCATGAGAGCCATGTACTGGGCATACTGCTGCTGTTGTTGGTAGTATGCCGCCCACGCGTCCTGATTATCCTGGCCTTGGGGAGCCGCCTGGGGAGCTGCTTGTTGAGTTTGGCCTTCAGCCTCAGCGCGAATACGGTCTTCTGTGTCCTTCTTCGCCTTGGCCACCGAATCCTTCTGGAAGCCAGCCCACCACTCTCTGACTCTTTCGGGGTCGTTGGCCAACCAGGCGGGCGGGTTGGTCGCGGGATAAGGCAGACCCCGGAGCTTCTCGACAACCTCCTCAATGCTGTTAGCGGCAGCTTGAACGGTGGAGTCTGGATAGTCGTATCGTCGCTGCGTTTGCGGGGCCGCCGCGTTGAAAGGGTTGACGTCTCTCCAACTGTTCAGCTTTCCAGACGTCAAGATGCCATGTACTTTGTCGTCGAATGGAATGGAAGGAACAGGCTGCATCTCGGCGGGAGGTGGGACAATCGGTTGGGCGTTCTCTCCAGGTGGGGTCATGTTGTACGGCTCGGGGGTAACGGCAGGCGCCACCGGCTTGAGGTTGCCCAGAATGGAGTTCAGCTTGGTCGCGGGGTCGTCCTTGGCATCGAGGCGTTTCCTAGCGTAATAGCCTGCAGCTTCTGAGCCAAACTGTTGCGCATCCTTCCACCGCTTATGAATCTCGTCAAATTTCGGATCGCCTTGAGGAAGCTGTGCGATCTTCGCATCCGAGTTGGGGACCGCTGACTCTGGGGGCGGTGACTTAGGCGTGGGGGGGATATCCGAGACGTCCGTGTACACAACCATAAGCTCCTTGTTCTCTCGATCCGCGATGGCCTTTTGCTCGTCGGTATGGAAAGCGACGTTGCCGCCACGGGTGACGTAAGATTTATCGCGATACTCTTGAGCGATGCGGGAGACGTCGGCAATGATCGGCGGGGTGTATGGCTGATAGGGCAGCTCGTCCTCGTCATCCTCGTCTTCGTTAAAGTTGGCCCGTTGCTTGAGCATCATTCCCTCGGATCGGTCGTCTGCAGCATCCTTTGTCATGTTGTCCTCGTCCTCTGCCGCTTCCTTGTGGAAAATGCGGACCTGGACGAGCTCTGATTCGGGCTTCCACTTGACGCGAAGCTTGCGACGAGCTTCCTTCTTGAGTCGCTTGGCCTTTTCCTCCGGAGTCTCGGGCGTATCTCTCTTGCTGGAGTCCTTGGCTTGTGTGGCCTGCATCTCTGCTTTGGGCGTATTGATGGAATCAAGCAACGAGGCGATGCTAGACAGTGACGAGCTCGAGGCCGCAGCCGGTTTCGCGGCAGCGGGCACTCTTGGCTCGGGCTTGGGCGCAGGCGGCGGTGGTTTCTTGTCAATGTCCATCGGCGTGGTTGAAGAAGATGCTTCGAGCTTCGAAGTATCCGGCTTGACTGGCTCCCTGGTAACGGGCTTGGGCGGGCGGATCTTCCCTGCGAGAGTGGCCGAAGACGTGGGACGAGGCTTTGAGGCAGCGAACTTGGACTGGAGAGATCCAGCCGCAGGTTTCGCACCCATCTTGCTGCTCAACGCATTGTTTGTCGATTCAACGGCCACCTTTTTAGCCGTGCGGGAGTCGCTATCGTCATCACGAGCTCGTTTCGCCGGGGAACTGTCGGCGGTCTTGGTTGACGTCTTCGTCAACTTGCTGGCCGATGTGGCCGACGGCGTCTTCTTCACCTCGACACCGTTTGGCTCCGCATCCTTCTTATCAGTGTCCTTTTTGATCCTGGACGCGATCGTGCGTACTAGCTCCTTGACTTCGTCGTCGCCCTTGTCCGCAAGACGCTTTCGCACATTTTCGAAGTTGACGTTCTTGGAAACCTTTTCGGACATGCTGATGTTGGACATGAAGCGAAGAAGAGCTTTGGGGAGGGGTCCGTTGAAGTCGGCAGCCTTGATGCAGCCAATCAACATGTTCACCAAACTCAAAATACCCTTCTGGTGACCGCCGAGATTCTCCAACACCGCTTCATCGCCGTGTTTAGCCGCTGCTTCGCAAACCTTGGTAAAAGTCTCCTTTTTGAGGTCGGTCTTTCGGGTCCACTCGGCGATTGCGGATGCCGGCTTTCCTTCTTTCGCTGCCTGATCGGCTTCTTGCTTTGTCCTGTTCATCTCAGACCTGAGTTTAATCAAGAATTCACCCAGAGCTTGGACGGCACTGGCGATGAGAGCGTTCGTTCTGGTGGCCGAAGGATCGATGTAGACAATACCCAGAATATCCCAGACGGCGCCCTCCACAGGATCAGAAGGTCGTGTCTCGGGGCGAATAGGCTTCTTGCGCTCTTCCTCCTCTTCCTTGCGAGCTTTCCTCTGGGCCTTGGACTTTGTCGCTTCATCTGCCTTCAATTGCTCTTGGAAAGTGAAGGGATAATCAGCGTACTTAGGTCGACGGTTGCCCAGCTGCTTCATTTCACGCGTGTACTGGTCGAGGAGCGCCCTAGCCTCAATTTCTCGGTCCTCGGGCTTGCCAGGAAGGACAGGAGATGGCCTGTATCTGTCTGTGAACTTGCCCTGGATTTCACATGGGAGCTCAGAGGCCAATTCCGGGATAATACGCTTTCCGCTGGTTGAAGGGAGAGCAACAAGAGGGGCCAGTCTGTCGTAGCTCTTAGGGGCGGACAACTTGACCGCTCCAGATGACACAAGAAATGGTGCGCCGGGCACGGGAAGGAACTGCCTCTTGGCCGCAGCATTGCGCTTCTTGAACTGTTGCATCTGAGCCAGCTCCTCCTCGGTACTTGTAGGGAGTACCAAATTTTCCGCCTCGTCGCCTTTCCTGCCCATAGATTCGCCCGGAGAGTCGGCCTGTTCCGGCTCCTCCTTCTTGGTAGCCCGCTTGCGCTTCTTGGCTTGCACTTGGTCAAGCTGGACGGCGGGATCAATAGGGGGTGTTCCGGGCTGTGACGTAGGCGCTAAAGCGATGGGTTGATGTTGCTGTTGCAGAGCCTGCTGTTGGTGTTGATGCGGCTGGTGCTGCAATTGCTGATGGGGAGCCTGGGGGTGTGGCTGGATAGGCCGAACTGGACTCGGCGCGACCTTTGCTTGATGAATAGGCTGCGGAGTGTGCTGAGGTGCGCGAGCTGGCTCAGCCATCTGCTTGGGCGCAACAGGCTGGAACGTTGGCTGGGCGTAAGACATTTGCTGAGGCATCAGCTTGTGTTGTTGATAAGAAGGCGTCTGGTTCGCCTGGAAGGTAGGCTGATTCGGATTAGAGAATGACTGTCCGTTTTGCTGGTGAGCATGCTGAGCATGCTGAGCTTGCTGGGCCTGCTGAGCATGCTGAGCTTGCTGGGCCTGCTGAGCCTGCTGGGCCTGAAAGGAGTGCGGCGACTGGGAGTAGATTCTTTCCGGCTGGGCCTGGTGCTGCTGAGGCGAGTGGACGAAGGTTTGAGGAGCAGGAGAGTAGGACTGAGGGATCGACTCGAAGCGCTGCTGTTGCAGTTGAGAAGGATTTTGGTGGCCATGCTGAGGCATGAGTTGAGAGTCGTTAAATTGAGAAACATTGCCGTTGAACAGCTGGTTGGCTTGACCGTTGTACTGAAATTGTTGATTGGTGAAGTCGGGGGTATGGCTATGGCTCATATTCTCGATGGTGCCGGCATAATCTGCCTTGTCCTGCTGGCCATACATTTCTTGTGGGAAATCCTGCAGCCCAGCCAGAGGGTCGTCTTGGCCTGGGTCAGCATAGGACGGATCCAAGGCGAAGTGGCCATGGCCGTTGTGGAAGTCGCCCTGGTTTATGGCAGACATGCTGCTGTGGTCATTTGCTACAGCAGCGTGGGCCTGGTGAGGCGATGATCCAAATGGACTATTCTGAGCACCGTTGCCTTGGGGCGCAAGATGTGAAAAGGCATTTTGGTCATGAATCTGCTGAGTCCAATCTTGAGCACCCCCATATTGATTTGACCCGTTGGAAAAACCGTAAGGGCCAGGCCAGAGATTATTATTATGGCCCTGAGCAGGACCTGCCTGGCCATTTGCCTGCCAGTTCTGCATCGCGTCGGACTGGAGCTGGAGAGCTTGGCCTCCAAGACTGATGGGCACTGCAGGCACGTGATGGAAATGGAAGTTATTGCCAAATTCCTCACACGTTCATTGGGCGAAAGTAGAGAGCACTGCACAGCTGCAGCCAATTAGCATTTATTCCTCGTCGAGCGGACTGTGACTGGCATGCATGCCGGATTGACCGTGCGTCGGGTTATCAGACGAAGAGGCACTGGCGAGCCACTTTGATTGGATAAAACAAGGATGCGACGTTTGGGGTCTGAACGAGGCGGAGGAAGGTGGGGTGGGGATAGATGTTTTGGGGAAACCGTTAAGGTTGTTTTGGAGCGACCTTGAAAGTGCGGTACTTTTCCATTCAAAATGGCGGGTGAAGCACAAGGTATGGAGAAATATGGGATCTGACGGCTAATTGCCGGCGCGGCGTCGGGAGCTTACCTTGGTGTCAGCGACTGGCGAAAAGGAGCGGCTAAGCCGAATGCGTCCGCGCGGCAGGGATGATGATGTAGTACTGCGCCGAACGAAACTGATCTTTTGATGGTGGGAATGACGAAAGGTTGATTGTGGGTGTCTCTGTGTGTCGTGTGGACGAACTGTAAAGCTGGTCAGCGTTCAAGAACTGAATCATCGTGGTTTGCAGCAAATGTGTGATGTCGACGTGGGTGATGCAGTGGTTGAAGTGAAGTTTGTCAAAGAGCCACTTGGTTCTGGAGATGGATATGGACGAGGGTCGCTGCTGGCAAAGCTGACCAACAACCCTGAGGGCGACTGTGACTGTGACTGGTGGTGTGCACAACCGTTCGCACTCTAGGGACAACACCCAAGCGATCGCCTCCCTCCAGCGAGAATTGAGGGCATTGAGACGGATGGTATGATGGTCTGCTTCGGCGGGCGATGGACGGGCGGACGGACGGCTCGGAATGTCGCGACTGATGATTGACGATGGAATGATGCTTGCAGACGCTGCGCCGGATGGGATTCTTGTTGCGATTTGACAATGAATCTCGTAGAGGTCATCTTGTCTCTTTTTTTCCCAACAACATCCGTCTCCCAGTCGACCGACAATTGGCGAAGTGAGGTGGTCTTCAGTGTGTTGGGTGGTCCCTTGTTTGCAGTGGGCTTCATCCTGCCGACCGTCCGCTGAGTTGGTGGACGTCCAAGGCCAAAACAGTGCTGGGCAAGTCAGAGAGGCCCCTGGAGACCCGCCCCTGCATCCAGCCCAAGACCGACGGGACCTGAAGCAAAATTTGAAGAATGGTAAAGTCGGAGTCCCGTCTTCCAGAGCTGCTGGACTGGGCTGCAGGATTGAGTGGGTTGATGGACGCGAGGACGAAGATTGACGGTCTGCAGTGCAGCATCGACAGTTTTCCGAAGGAACTGGAACTGCGCGTCGCTTGAGTTGCCCGCTTTGCTCGTCTTCCCTCTCAGATTCCACACCGTCCGTAAGGTACCAAGCCAAACTGCCATCAGTCGCGCCGCGAAACAAGGCGTCTGCTTTTGCAGAACATTTTTAAACAGGAGCGTTACTCGTGTATGTCCTTGTCCACATTTCCACGCGCCGTGTGTCTGCTTCTCCCCTTGATGCAATCCGACTTTGCAAATTCATCGCTGCAAAGGTGCGGGTGCGGGTTGAGTTGGAATGCCATGCGTTTATCATGATTTTTCACTCACACAAACATAGCCATCTGCCTACCCAAGAGTGGATGATGGCGATGGTGATGATGGAGGTGTGCCGGTGGAAGCGCTGGTGATGTGTGATGCGAGGAAGATGTTTTGGGTGGTTGGGGTTGGAAGGGGAAGCGCGAGTTGGGCTTCGGGGGAAAGTTTATCATACCCTGCAGTTTCGTTCGTGTGTATTCCTCTCCTCCGCGATTATCCTGCCCTTTCTGTGTTCCTGAGTGGTTTCGCGACCTTAACGTGGTTCGCAGTTGGTATTCTGATGATAACGACGGCGCAGGTTACAACATGTTGGCGACTGCCCGGCAGAAGAGCGCGAACTGTCTACCCAAAAGAAGGGGCAAAATGGGACGATCGCTGAAGATCTGGAAAAGCGACAATCAAACAGGCAATTTAGATGCCGTATTCTGCGGTCAAAGGGTTCGCGAATTGCGGATTCCGTATCGATGAAGGTCGCTGGCGAAGTTCCGACGCGTCTCCCCGTAGCTTCTGTCTGTGAAATGACGGTGATGTTTGGGTGGTGAAGGAGGAGAGGCGGAATGGGTTGTCGATGGAGAGGAGGAAAAGTTGGTTATTGTTTCGTGGTGGCCAGTCCAAAGGGAGGTGGGAAGTCACCTTTGCGGCCCTAGGAATCAGGCATTAATAGGCTCCGGTCCAAGCTGGAAAGAGCCACGGGCATGACTTGCCTTGGCTGTGACTGGCCTGGGCAAGGGCCCCTCGTGCCTTCCCGCTTACGGCGCAGAAAATAGGTCCCCAAGCCACCAGCTCACACAAAGCCCAGGACCAGCCGGCAAAGTGCGGCAGGCGCAAGCTACGGATGGATACCTTACTCAGAATTGGAGGATCAAGTACATTCAGGATGCGTATTACTTATGGAAAGGTCGAAGGGTATTTCAAGGCTATTGGGATTATGGTTTATCAAGAAATACATCCGAAATGTCTTTTTGCTTGAAATCGTTCTTATAATTGCCTTGGTGAAGCCATCGAAGAACGGAAGGAGCATCTTCAGGTGTACCTAACAACGTAACCTTACGGGTACCTGATGAGCGGTTAGACAGGTCATCCGGGTCCAGCCAGGGCCATATTCCAGCCTCTCGGCTGCCACCTGGCGGCTTCCATTCACCGCTCATCGGAAAACGGAGGCTCAGTAACGCCGCCCATGACATCGTGGTGGCCCACTCGAGCACCTGTGCAGGCACTCGGCGGAATCATCCAGGAAATGTGGCTCGACGGCACTTTGAGGACACCGATGCTGGAGCCGTGTACGTACCTGTCACTCGTCGCAAGCAAGCCGTCAACCTTCATTTCTCAACGCGACCACCGATTACAGACGATTGATGCTGTAGCTTAATACATGCCATAGCTACCACTCGCCTTGGCACCGGCTTTTATGCGACTTGTTCATACCCAGTCTGTGGAAACCTCAGCTTCTCCAAGCTAGCTAGAGCTGTGAAGCTACCCCCACCATCACCATCGCCATGGCAGCGAAGGGCCATTCGCTGCGCGATCGCCAGATCTGTACGTCGCAAACCCCTCCTGACACATGTTCATCTCGAGCTGGAGACTAATGAGTGTTATACTGTAGCGGCGCTGAAGAAGCTGCTCAGCTTAAACGACAACATCAACGAGACCGAGGCCGAAGCTAACCAGACCAACGGCGGCGCACTTGGACCCGCGGGCTCCATCATAACTTCTGATGGCGATCCTCTCTGGAAGGTCCTCGTCTTTGACGACCTTGGCCGAGATGTCATCAGCAGTGTCCTTCGGGTAAGCGACCTTCGGGCGCTAGGAATCACAATGCACATGTACGCCGGACCTCTAAACACCCAACGCCTCGTCTGTCATAAACTAACATATGCGAAGGCATATCGGTGCCTCTCGACACGCGATTCCGGACGTACCAGTCATCTACCTTGTCGAACCCACACCGCAGAACCTACAGAACATCACGAACGATCTCCAGAAGGGCCTCTACTCCCCTGCTTACCTGAATTTCCTCTCCTCCATCCCTCGGCCACTCCTTGAGGACTTCGCCGAGCAAACGATAACCGCTGGCACGTCAGAGAGCATAGCCAAGCTGATGGACCAATATCTAAACTTCATTGTCGCCGAACCAGACCTCTTCAACCTGGGCATGCAACGAGACCACACGTACTGGGCGCTGAATAGCGCGACAACACAAGATGAGGAGCTGGACAGAGTTGTGGATAGGATTGTCAGCGGCCTGTTCAGCGTCATTGTTACCATGGGTGTCATTCCAATCATTCGATGCCCCAAGGGCGCCGCGGCCGAGATGATCTCTGCGAAACTCGACCGAAAACTGCGCGACCACATCCTCAACTCGAAAGAAAACCTATTCTCCTCCAGCGCCCGCCCGGCATCATCTGCGGGCACCCCGACCTCCCGACCCGTCCTCATCATTCTCGACAGAAACGTCGACTTAATACCTATGCTTTCTCATTCTTGGACCTACCAGTCTCTGGTCCACGATGTTTTGAATATGAAATTGAACAGAATCACGATAGAGACGCCCATAGACGAAACCAACCCTGCCAAGGGAACCACCAAGAAGGCTTACGATTTGACGTCGAGCGATTTCTTCTGGGCCAAGAATGCGGCCGTGCCGTTTCCTCAGGTGGCCGAGGATATTGATGCCGAGTTGACACGTTACAAGGAGGACGCGGCGGCGGTGACGAAGAAGACTGGAGTAACGGACTTGGAAGACTTGCAGAATGATACCAGTGCCAGCGCGCAACACCTGAAGGCTGCCATTACCCTTCTGCCGGAATTGCGGGAGCGCAAGGCGGTCCTCGACATGCACATGAATATCCTGGCAGCCCTTTTGACAGGTATCAAGAACCGCCAACTGGACAACTTCTTCCAAATCGAGGAGGATGTTATGAAGCAGACCAAGCCGCAAATACTAGAGCTCATCAAGGACAGCACCAAGGGAGACCAGCCTCTGGACAAGATGAGACTATTCGTCATCTGGTACCTCAGCACCGAGCAAGATGTCAGTCGGTCAGAATGGGAGAGCTTTGAGAAGGCCCTCACCGAGGCCGGTGCCGACACAACCTCTCTTCCTTATATCCGACAGTAAGTTAACAATCTCAACGTCCCACTGATCCTCCTACTGACGACACTTCCAGAGTCCGCGCCACAACCAAGATGACACAGCTCACCACTATCTCCAATCCTCAACAAAACCAGGCCGCCTCCTCCGATCTCTTCGGCCGCTTCTCTTCCATCTCCAACCGCCTCACCGACCGTCTCAAGGAAACGGGCGTCCCCACTGGACTGTCCTCCAACTTTGAGTCACTCATTGGCGGCATCAAAAACTTCCTCCCTGCCAACCGCGACCTTACCATCACCAAAATTGTCGAGTCCATCATGGACCCCTCCGCTGCCGCAAGCTCCGCCATCGCCAAGACGGAGAGCTATCTCTACTTCGACCCTCGCTCTGCCAACGCTCGTGGCACCATGCCCCCGCCAAGTTCCATCCGCGCCGGCGCCGGCTCGAACGCCCCCGGCGGCTTGCCGGGTCAGAACATGGGTCAGGCTCCTGGCAGTGGCGCCAGCTTCGGCCAGCGCCGCCAAGGGTACTCCGAGGCCGTCGTCTTCACCGTCGGCGGTGGCAGCATGGACGAGTACGGTAACTTGCAGGAGTGGGTCGAGCGGACGGGCGGCGACCGCGCCAGGAGGCGTGTCGTGTATGGTAGCACGGAAATGCTTAACGCCGACGAGTTCATCAAGCAGGAGCTGGAGAGGCTGGGTAAGGAGGTGGCGTCCTAGATGTAGGCTAGTAAATCTGAGCGAGTTTCTCCCATGTATCTACCGAAGTTCTTATCGTGGCTCTCGGGCTTTCAAGCTAGAGTAGAGCAAATATGATTCCCAATCCCGTTCAAGCTGCCAAATCCCGAAGTGAAGCTCCTCGAAGCCAAATCCGTGGCGAAGTGCCAAATATCAATGACAGTCAACACAAGCTGTGTTGGGGAGCCTTGATTCTTCGTGGTCATTGTTTCAAGCTCCAGACTACGTAACCGATGATAAGAAAAGGTCGATGCCAGGTGTTCACCGTTACTTCGTCGACGACTGATACACATGAAGTGAGAGGACTAGGTGGGAGTATCCAGAGACGTGGGCTTAGATATAGGTTTGCTGCTGATGAGTTCGATTCCAGACGGGTAAGACCAGTCTGCCATGGTCGCGACGTGGGTTTCAGTGACAAGTGCTCCTCATGCACAACGCTGTTTCCCGAGTCCTGGGCGAGATACAATATCGAGATGCTGCGCGGAAGGAGACGCGACGTATTGTCCGACCTCGGCTGTCTCTCATCATATTCATCTCCCGCTTTCCGTATATTCGTTCATCCTACATGGACGAGGAATGAGGGAGGCGTGGTTAGTGGTCCGTCCGTCGATCGGTAGGCCCGTACGTGGGAGTCGCCAAGTCGAGCCGGCCGGCGTTCAGTCGGACTCAGGCTCAGTTCAACCTGTCCTTGAGCAATGGTCCAACTTATCCGGCTTCTTCCACCAAATTGTAGGTAAATTGACAGATGCTTTTATCTTCATATAGCACCTGATTTCATAGCAGGCCTAATGATCTCTCGGCAAGTGAAAGTGACAATGGCTGGCTGTCCAGTCACGAAATGACACTTGCCTCAGGTCTGAACCATGACATTCATCTCCGTTGACAACCGGTAGACGCGCAACTCTACATAAAAGCATATCGAACCTCGAGTCCAACAACAGGAGACGCCAAGAAGAAAGTCAGGTTGGCCACACTCATCGGCCACCACGCCCTTCTTGTCCCCAATACTCACAATCTCTGAATGTCCCGCGCAGAAAGCGGACCGTGTTGGAGTCCGATCCGCCATCGACTACCTGCGGCGATACCGCCAAGGTGATAGGAGCGTTGAATACTAGAGCAATGCTGGACGACAGAGCGGGGAGTGCGCGTGCCTGGACGTTGTTGTGTATGAACTGGACGGCGGACGCTTCTCACGTGAGAGTCATTTGTGTCGCGGCTACTCCAAAGGAGCCAGTACCATTACCAGAAAATTAGTTGTTACAACAGTGTTTATATATCGCTGTAATAATTGAACAACGTCCATCGGCTCGCACAAAGCTCGCATTGAACGAAAGAGTCGACTCTGGTCAGAGCAGACTGAAGGTGTCCTCATGCAGCTGGCTCGTGTTGTAGCTAAGTATATGCTTCTGCAGCGAGTATGCTGCCCATTCTCGTCTGCCTAGCTTAAGCACGATGATTTGTATCTACAGCAGGTGCCATACGAGTCGTTTAGGAATAACATCGAGTAGCTGGATCGACATGTCTGTCGCCAAGATCTACTCAAGTCGATATTACACGTGCGTGCGTGTTTTTCCAGTACTGGAATCAAACTGACAAACAGATATCATGCTCGAAGTCGCCGCCTCAGATGTCCTTGGATACATCACAACACCCCAAACCCGAGAATGACCGCATATATATTACAACACCACCTGCGCCAGACCGAAGCCTTTTTTCCAACGATGACCCGTCTTTCCACGAATGTTGAAGCAGCACAGGTGAGTGAGCGCTATGATGAATGACCACCGCTGTGTAAGCCATTAACAATCACCAGGTGCTTTGCCTCGAGATCCGTTGCCCCAGGTATAATTTTCACCGCGTCCTCAACCAAGCCCGCTACTCCGCGTCTCTCCCGCTTCCAGTGTATTCCCCAACGCGCGTTTATCGACCCTGAAATGAATGCATCTGATTATCACACATTGCCTTGCCGTACATGATACATTCGCATTCGCCGGTCCTCACTCGATTAGACCTGGTGAACTCGTATCATTATTCCGGGCGTCAAGAAGGCAAAGATATTAAGCAACGTCTTCTACTTATAGACTTTCAGTGAACCGGCGTACGTAAAACCCTACCTTTACACCCATTTCAGACGAGTCTCACAGCTGACTTTCTTTGCTCTCTTCAGTAACTACATCTGCTAAATCGTTCATCAGCATCGACCACAGGCAAATCCGATCCGGGAGCACTCTGGAAGCATCTGTCCTCGGATCTGCCAACCAGTCACTTCACTACCGCAAACAATGAGTTCAACTGCTAGTGTTAAGTACTATGAACAACGACACGGGTACGATGAGCACACCCGACCCCCCTTCATCACGTGTCGCCATGGCTCATCACACAACCACGTCCACCAAAGATCGATGACCAATCCAGGTCCAGACTCTCGAAAGATGTTCATCAACAGCCTTGGCCAGTACCGCAAACGCTCCAGTGTCAGCTGTAAAATATCCGAAGTAATGATCTATGTTGCCGTGCAGAAGCCAGCCCGTCCTCATCGGATCCAACTGAGCTCTCGACGCTGCACATTCTCAAGAGGGAGCAAGGATGCGGTTTGTCCTTAGGGTCTCTTCATCACGCAGTTCTCCCAGTCGATATCCCCAAACTGTAATTTCCAGATGGGCGGTAGCTAGGAGCCTGTGAACAGAAGACTGAGCTTCGCTCGGGGCCCGCGATGCTCGCAATAGGCCGTAGACATGATCAACCAAATCACCACAACCGGGATTGAATCAAGGCGTTTATAAGATCCGGTAAATAGCATCTAAAAAGGATACGCTCGCATATAGTCACGTAGCTCAGAGGCATACTTTACTCTCTACTAGCTGTAGTCTAATACGTCGTACCATATCTAACCTCATCATACTCAACACCAACCAAAACCGACTCAGACGCAGCTCATTTCGAAGCATGCTAACTAGACCTTTGCACACACAAGTACAATGATTCTCACAACGCAAACAGAACACTTCGTCTACGTGCAATACGTCCATCACCTGGAAGCCAGCCACAGAAGCAGGTCGCCACAGCATACGCCACAGACGCAGACATCTCCCGAAAATCCCCACCGCGGAGTTTGTTTCGGAGAGCACGCATGTCACATCCATCACTCACTCACTCACTCGGCGTGAACCCGAAACATCCCAAGTCTCTCCCGACGAAGGTTGACGAAGTATCCCGAGTCCCGTCGTCCAATGCCATCAGCAGAACACCACACATCGATATCCATCTCCAGTCCCTCACACACCCAAAAAGAAGCGTCCATCTACATGAGATGGGCGAAAAAAGAACCGACGCCCGCTTCCATTGGCTGGCTAATCAGTGTTTTAGTCCCCTTGGCTTGGCCACAGTACAACACACACACACACACACCCCGATAAGCTCACACGAGCCCGGCATGGGGCATCTTCTGTGGTGCGGGAAAAAAAACGTCGAACCTGCAGCACGGGACGACGGCCAACACTCTGAAACCAGCACTGCCTTTCCGAGATGGGATCTCCCTGCGTGACGTAGGAATCTTCCGTGTGGGTGTGTTGAGTGTGTCTGCAGGGCCGTTGTGTGTCTCTCCTCCTCCAAACTCCTACTCCCCTGGCCCGGTTCACCCACACATCCCCTCCCGTTGTTCTTGTCCTCCCGCGGGAACACGAGTAAGAGAAAGAAGAGACGACAAGGTCAGAACAATCGCCTCGTCTTGTCCCCTCTCCCCAGGGTAAGAAACCGGACGAAAAGTCTCCTACCCGACCTGGACCTGGACTGGCGCGCTGGGTAGTTCGTTCGATGTCTGTTTGGTCCATAGTAGCCAAAAGGTTTCGAAGCACACAAAACGGCAACATCTCCCTTCACCGGAGCTTCCCCCTCCACGCCGCAGGGGACACCGAAGGGCATTGGCGGGCAAGCTCAGCGTCCCCTGAGGCGAATGGCGAAAGTAGGAGTTGAGAGTCTCGATTTTTGGGTTGTCACGATGCAGCGTGCGCCGCCTCCTTTTTTTTTTCCCTTTCACCTCGCATACGGTCCCTGGCCCGATCTGTGAACCGACGGCCAGCCCTGCTCCCACCCATCTGCCAGGCTCACGATTCCGCAGGCTGCCGCACTTTGAGATGAGCCCTCTTCGGCTTCCTGCCTGCTTTTGACGTCTGACGTCCCAGAGATCCGTCCTGGGCCGCTTGAACCGATGGCTATTTTTTTCGCCAGAAAGTACGAGACCGGGGTCATCTGCACCCGCCGCCGTGGCTACTGCTCCTCTGCCTCTCTAGTCACACCGGCGGCGCGGCATGGCGTGAGCTGTGGAGACTTTCTTTTTTTTCTTCCAACGGTTCCTGGGCTTCCTCCGGCCAAGCCCGAGCCGAGAGATATGTGACAGAACCCATCCCGCCGTGGTGACGGTTGCCACGGCTCTGTTAGGGACGCGAGATCATCAAATCCGCAAACCGTCCTCGTGAGCAACCGCCAAATGCGACGAGATGCAGGCGCACGTACGCAACAGCGAGATAATACAGAGACCTACCGGAAATCAAAGTCCCGTTTGCTCTCCGTCGTAATGTCGCTTCCGGCGCTGGATTGTGTCGGTGAAGAACAGAGATCCATCTTCATAACGGCGATGTCCTCCCAAAGATAGACTTTACCGACGAACCCCAAAGCTTAGCATGTTGCTGCAACATTGAACTCTTGGGTTGAGTTGCCGTGCCGCTCCCAGAGAAATCTCAATCTCAACATCCATCGCCAATAACGAACCCCTCTTATTCATTTACTCAGGGCCTCGCGAGAACCGAGCTTGTTCGACCTTCTCTCTTACCCCACACTCGATGGGAGGTGCCACATTGATGGGGGGTTCCCTGTCACAAGGAATCCACATTCTTCTGGAAGCTTGCGACCTGCGACCAACCGGAGCTCGAACAGGTAGCAAGGAAGGCCGCGTTTCTGCGTTGATGGATGGGTCGAAATTGGAA